GAGTTTTGGGAGCATAGGCTTCGGTGGGTGATTCCCCCCTTAATCGCCTGGCGTCTGATGAAGGGGGCATTCACCCACGAAAGCTTATGCTCCAATACTTCTGTTAGTCTTAAAGGTGCCACAGGACCCTCTGTTGCTTTTTACAGATTCAGACTAACACAGCTAAACCTCTGAAAAATGATTAGAGGGCTGGAGCACATGACTTATGAGGAAAGACTGAGGGAACTGGGATTGTTTATTCTGCAGAAGAAAAGAATGAGGGGGGGATTTGATAGCTGCTTTCAGCTACCTGAAAGGGGATTCCAAAGAGGATGGATCTACCCTGTTCTCAGTGGTAGCAGATGACAGAAAAAGGAGTAATGGTTTCAAGTTGCAGTGGGGGAGGTTTAGGTTGGATATTAGGAAAAACTTTTTCACTAGGAGGGTGGTGAAGCAATGGAATGGGTTACCTAGGGAGGTGGTGGAATCTCCTTCTTTAGAGGTTTTTAAGGTCAGGCTTGACAAAGCCCTGGCTGGGATAATTTAGTTGAAGATTGGTCCTGCTTTGAGCAGGGGGTTGGACTAGAGGACCTCCTGAGGTCCCTTCCAACCCTGATATTCTATGATTCTATGATATTTAGGTACCTAAAGATGTAGTCTGATTTTCAAAAGTGCTGAGCATCCATTAAAGGCAATGGGAGGGCCTGGGTGCTCAGCATATTTGAAAATCAGGCCATTCAAACACCGAACATCAGGTGTCCCTTTTAAAAAATCTTGTCCCCTTCTGGTTTTGAGGCTAGGTTAAGCAAGTGTATGCTGCCCAGGATATAGAGGCTCTTCTTACTGAGTCCATCCACAAGAGCAATGTCTACTCTTGGATTGAGACTGTGTAATGTCGTCACCTCAGTGTCCTGTATTTTTTATGTTGTTAATCTGGATGTGACAATCTCTGCAGATGCTGCCCTGAGAAGGTAGATTGATTGATTTATTTATTTAAAGTCGGTCCCAATTTTTCTTCTAGGTATACATACTCTGTGTATAATCTGGTTAATGAGAACTAGTGTGAAAGTTCTCAGTATCTAATCAGTAAGAAATATTTGCAAATGGTCAATTCTTAACTGTTAATTTAACTTCTCAAAGTCCCTTTATACCAGTCTAGATTTCATATTATGAGCTGTGGAAGTTAGGATTGGTACTTTGATTTCTGTTTTTATTTAATAGTTTATTATTATTTATTGTATAACAAGTATTAAGCATGCAGAGTCAGCCAGGTCCCTTTATGAGGAGAGTTAATTCAAGGTACAGTTTTATCCTCTTTATCAGCTGATAAGACTTGAAGATCCAAGGTTGTATAGCTGTAACGCAACAGTCCTTTTATTGAGGACTATATTCTGCCCATGTAGAGGGTGGACTGTATGATCTAATAGGATATTTTCATTTCTAACTACTTTGATCCTATCCATGTCTGGGCTGGCATAGAGGGACTTGGAAAAGCCAGAAGTAACAGGTAAGAAATTACTCTTCTAGGGATTAGTAAATACCAATGCTTTGTCCAGATCCTTGTGACGAGCAGTTGTTATATATTGGGCAAATATTACATCTCCACCACCAAAGTATAGCTAAGTTTTAGGATGATAGGTGTTTGGAAAACACCAGAAACAGAAACTATATGAAGTTATTGCCTGATAAATTTCATTTTACAAAGTCATTTTTAGTTAAAGCGTTTTTTAAAACCTGTAAATATTTTGTCTTCCTGTAACTTTAAAATGGGTAAAAGAATGTTCGAAAAAAAATTCTAAAAAGTTATTTCTTTCAGGTTTACTTGTATCCCAAGTATCAGAATGGAGTGAATTTTCGCAGCAAGATTACAAATCTGGAAGCCAGTGGGTCATGATTAAAATACTGACAGAACATTAAATGTAGTTCACTAGTGAGCAAAACCACAACGAAAACCACTAGACAGTATTCCTAGAATTAAGATGTTTATTTAATGTTTCCTTTAGTCAAAAATTGTGTTTTAAATATTAGAACAGAAATATCATTGATTTTTCCTATTTAAATGTGTGTACATTTATACATGTAAATCAAACCCTTACATTTGAGTTACATGTTGCATTACACTGAACTATGATGTTCCTGTTTCCTTCAGGCTTCCCCAGCTCAGCCCACACCACAAACCCAAAATACAGGAGGCCGTCGAAGAAGAGCAGCAAATGAAGACCCTGATGAGAAAAGAAGAAAGTTTCTAGAGCGAAACCGTGCTGCTGCTTCAAGATGTCGACAAAAAAGAAAAGTGTGGGTGCAGTCATTGGAGAAGAAAGCAGAAGACTTGAGCTCATTAAATGGTCAATTACAGGTATTTTCTTTTTTTGATTACGAGCAAGAAGTAAAGAGTTATCTGAATTTTCAGTTAGCAATCCTGAGGTCATGGAACGCAAACTTGGTATGGGAGCTACAATATGAATAGCTTTCTAAAATTCAGTTGAATTCAGAACCGACATAATCAGTATTAAAATGCCCGTATCATAGGTATAATGAGAATGAGACTATGCAGCTTCAAAGATATGTGAAATCTGGGATCTCACCTACTTGGCCTTTGTTCCATTTTAAGTAACTTTGGGGTTGTGACACAAACCAACAAGAGCAAGTCGATTTTGAAGTCAAGTCTCATTGGCAAAATGTTAGCCTTAATTTAGAAATGCCTTGTTTATATCAATTTGTGTCACTGCCTGAGTTACTTAAATTCAAATTTTTGTTTTAATTTCCTTTGTATTTTTTAACCGTAGTTTTTTTTCTTTAAAGTGAATGTAGTGCTCGTGAAAGGTGCCAGATTGACAGCACTGGAAACTGAAGGCCTCTATTTGTCCACAGAACAGGTACCGCACAGGCAGTGGCCGTGCAAATTTCACCACACTGCCCTACCAGTGTGCCTCAACCCTATTTTTGTGGGACCATATAGTATATGAGGGTTGTCCAGTATCTATTCCTAGTCAGCCTTTGGTGCCTTTGCTGAGACTGCCAAGAATGTGCCAATTAATGCCAAGTTGTGATGTTGACCCCCACCCAAGTCCAGTGAACTGAAATGTCCAATTCATTTCATTTAGACAATAAAGCAGGCAACTGGTGGTACTGGTATTTTGCTACCAGTCTGGGCCTAAGGTCTGTATCAGTCAACTTGAGCCAGCTAGGCCTCTTTAATAGGCATTTAAACAAAAACAAAACAAAAAACAAACACCCACTTAGACGTGTATAAGAATTAACACAATAGACAATGTCTCCTTGTAAGATACTAAGGTAAATTTAAAAAAAAAAGCAATCTTTTATTTTTATTGAAGATTATCAGAAATCTAATAGGATAGAGAATAAAGCAAAGAAACACAATAACATTAATATTTAGGAACCAAAATATGAATATACAAAAAACTTTGGGTTGTCAGATCCTCGCTGGTATAAATCAGTGTGGGTTGACTGAAGTCAGTGGAGCTTCCATGACTTACATCAACAGAGGATCTGATTCTAAATCTCTTGACATCCCCATTTTTAAATGAAACTTAGAAGCAATATATAGTAAGATGTATATGGCATAAATTACTTATGCCATACTGTCCTTCCATTTTGTCCTAAAAACAGTTGAATGCAAAATGAGAGGAAGAATAACAAAGAGCAGGAAACAATACATTTTCAAACATCCATTCTTTATTATTTGTTCTGAGGAGTGGGCAGGCATGTTGAGCATAATGCTGCAACATGTTGAACACCCTTAGCTCCTCATCTGCAGGTCTCTTCAGCATGTCCAAGGATCCTGTCCTATTATGCAAATGAGACTTAAATCTGCGTAAAGGACACAAAGCTGTCACCCAAATTCAAGAAAAGGTGCATTATACCTCAATATTGGTGGAATTACTTTCAAATACAATACACAGTGTCTCCCCAAACTCTATCACTGCTCAGTAAACGTTTTTCTAATAGTGGAGTAACAGTTCTGACTTCAGAGTATTATAATACAATGATGCGAGGAACATGTACAGCACCAAAGTTAATTAACCTAAAAATAGATGGGTGTGGGCTTATAAATGGTAATATTGATAGATTTTAAAAATACATAAGCTTCAGTGACATCTATTGGCTGCAACCGTGATTGTATTAACATTGAAAGGAATTGTGCAAATAAGTTGTGCATATCCCACCAATTATCAGACATACTAAATGAAACTTTTTGAAGATTACTGAAGAAATTAGAATGGATGCTATAATTACTGGCCAAAATTCAGTTTCTTCTTCGAGCGCTTGCACATGTCCATTCCACTGTAGGTATGTGCGCGCCTCGATCAGTCACTGGACATTTTTCCCTCAGTGGTACCTGTCTGGGAGGCTCAGGTGCTTTCTGGTGCTGCACAGTCATAGCGTCAGTATAAAGTGCCCAGTTGTCCCCTCAATTCCTTCTTACCACCTGTAATGGTCTCTGAAACTGTTTTCTTTGCTACGGCAAGCTTTCTCGGTGGTCTTTATTTTTCTGATAGTTGTGTATAATTAATAGTTAGAAATAAATAGTTTGTTTTTCTCTTTCTGTTAGCAGAATTTTGTCTATGCTCAGTGCCAAGGCATATCTCAGTCAGCGGGCTTCGAGCCCTGTGCCTCCTGGAACAAAGCTCTGCCCCTGAGCAAGCTGCACTCCAGTTGCTTGAAGTGCTTGGGTGAGGCTCACATCAGGGATTGCTGTCCGTTTTGCAGGGATGTTAAATGCCATATGAAGAAGGAGTAGGATGCCAGGTTCAAGTTCCTACTTATGGAGGCAACGCTGAGACCTTCCTCCCAGCCAAGCCAGTTGGACTCAGCTCAGAGCATCTCGGCGTCCATAAGGAGGGCTCCTCCAACCTTGTGAGAGTCCCAGCACTGTTTGCCATCCTTGGTGCCAAAGAAGAGGCATAAAAAGCAACCGGCTGTGAGGAGACATTCCCCGACAACAAAGAAAGCCAGGCATGAGGAGCGGAGCAGAGCAGAGTCAAGCCAAGCCACTCCTCTGCCTCAGCATTGCAGCAGTCAGCACCATTGCATCTGGTTCTGGATGAAGCATCGGCATCCAAAGGACAGTGTGGTACCAGCGCTATTGTGGCGCTGTCCACGCTGAAGTTGTTTGCTGCTGCCAGGGATCTGCTATTGCTGTCAGTACTGGTGTCACTGGCAGTACAGGCGTTGGTGGCATTGGTGCCGGTAGGCAGGAGAGAGCATGTGGGCCCAGTTACCATCCGGTACCGGTCCCCGTGGTACCGTCCAAGGAAAAACCGACTATCCTGACCCCAACGCAGCCTTCCCTGCCTCAGCACCGATCTCTGTCACTGGTGGGAACTGCTCCTCTGTGCTCACCAGATGGAGACTCCTCGTCTTTGGAGTTGGAGGTTGGGTCATACTCCTCTCATCCAAGGAGTCGACCCTGCCACTCCTCCAGTCATCCCTACCCTGCCCTGGATTGGGGCACAGGAGTGCCATTAAGTGCTTGGCCTAGTGGTCACTGAAGCGCCTATGCTGATGCAATGGCCCTTTTGGAGCCTGTGGGGGTTTCTACCAATCTCAGGGTCCCACTTGAGGCACTCCTGTTCGGTGGCCCCTAAGAGAAGGGCTCCGTCTCCCCATCAGGCAACACACTCCAGTACCCAGCCTGATACCAAGTTCAAGGAACCAACTCCACGGGATCCAGTCGGCACAGAAAGGGAAGATTAGCGCTCATTAGGCTGGTCAGGAGCAGGTGTGTTACCTCCCATAGATGAGTATAAGGCCCACCAGGAGTTGCTGAAGAGGGTGTCCCAAAATTTGGGCACGCAGGTGGAAGTAGTAAGAGAGTCCTCTCATAGTCTGGGCGATATTCTGGCCATGACAAGCCCATCAAAAGTAGCCCTGCCTCTCAATGAGGCCATCATAGACCCTGTGAAAACCTTCTGGCAAATCCCCACTTCCCTTCCCCACACCTCAAAGAGAGCCAAGAGGAAATACTTTGTTCCTGCCCAGGATTATGAGTTTCTGTATATTCATCCCTCCCCACCCCTCCCCAGAATCCCAAGTGTTTTCTGCTGCCAATGAAAGGGAAAGGCGGGGTCTGCAAGGTGTGGTACCTAAAGCAAAGGACTCAGAAAAGCTGGACTTATTCAGCATAAAGGTCTACTCTACCAGGTGTCTGCAGCTCAATATTGCTAACCAGCAGGTGCTGCTCAGCTGATATGACTTGTTGAACATGTGGGACTCCATGTTGAAGTTCAAAGACTTGGTATCGCAAGAGGCGAGGCTCGAGTTCTCCTCGTTCATGGATAAGGAGAAATCCTTAGCGATGGTTTCCGTGCAAGCTGCCCTGGATGCAGCAGGTTCAGCAGCCAGGTCCATGGCTTCTGTAGTGGCCATGCGTAGGAGTTCAGCAAACCCTCCAAGATCTCCCCTTCAAGGAAGCTTCACTCTTTTCGGGGCAGAGTGGTGTGAAGCTTCATGGACTGAAGGACTCCAGGGCGACCCTTACGTCCCTGGGAGTGTTTGTGCCAGCGACTTCAAGGAGGCTCATTTGGTCATGGATCACTTTGTGTATTCGCACATGTTACAAGCAGGTGGGTATTCTGCCACTAGCTATCCTGACTGCCTACTCCATGAGACTGCAAGCGTCATCAGCGGTATTCCTAGCACAGTTCCCTATTCAGGACATTTGCAAAGCAGCAACTTGGTTGTCAGTGCTTACGTTCTTTGCTCATTACACCATCACTCAGCAGTCTAGGGACAATGCCTGATTCCATCGAGCTATTTTGCAGTCAGCAAGTCCATGAGTTCTCTAACTTTTATCTGTTAGCATTATTAAGCCCATAGCTACACAAACAGATTTTCTTCATTTAAAAAAAAAATACAAGGAAGCTTTTGGCTTCCAGATTGTCAAGAGTTAACCCAGTAATAGTGAATTCAGGGGAAAGAAATTTCTTTCCGTCTGCCAATACCAAAACCGTTAACTGTGAAGAACAGAATGACTTGTAAAGAAAATTGAATGTCAAAGAAATAATTAAACTGTACTTTATGTGAAAACATTAATCAATCCTGCATTTCCATAATAGTTCTTCACTTGACAGCCTGGCACAGCTGATCAGCATAGTGGGCAGTAATGACCCATGATTACTTATGTTCTATTTAATAGTAAATGTAATAAGTTTGGAGCTTTGCCTTAGCGTAGTTTTACAGACTGCATGCTAGGGTTTAATAGTTCATATTTTGTTTAATACCTAAATGCCCTGCTCAGCTGAATTTTACTGTTGACATCATTAGGCTACAGTATTTCTAAAAATAGACTGATTTCATAAAGACTGAAAGTTGTGGTTGAGCTATTGAACAAAAACAATTGTCTTTCACCACTGTTAATAAGTGGATGTCCTAAATTTAAGTATCATACAGTTTGTGTTATGTAAATTTAACAGGGTTTTTAGAATGAAGACACTAAACAATACATATAGAAATAGGAAGATGAGGATATTCTTTCTGATGTAATTTCTACATGATATATATTTTACTGCATGTTCTCTGTTAGCTTCCAATAAACACATTTCTATACAAATAAGGTCTACTTTAACCTTTCTTGGTACAGTCCAGTATTCTATCTGCTTCTTAAGTTAAATGGTTGTGTATAATTCCCATTGCTATCCTTCATTTTCTTGGTTTTAAATGATACTATTCTATTTTATTATATATGTAGTGCAAATGTCTATTAATTGTATCACCTCAATAACATTCAGTATTTTCAGTTAGACGGGCAAAGTCTTCTCTTTACTACAAGCTCTTCTACATCAGTTGCCCCACACGTACAATCTTTTAAAATCTGTATTCTATTTGCTTTTCTGGATGGCTTTCTCAGCCAATATGTTTCCTTGGTAAAAGATCTCAAACATTATATATAATTTTAAGTATTGCCTCTGTGCCTTACAGACATATTGAAGAATACTGTATTCCTGTAACAATAAAACATACCATGTTGTCTTTTTTACTATAGGTAAGGCTATGATTTAGTCATAGGTATTTTTAGTAAAAGTCTCGGACAGGTCACTGGCAATAACTAAAAAGTCATGGCCAGTGATCTGTCAATGACTTTTACTAAAAATACTCCTAACTAAGCCTTAGGTGTTGGGGGTTTGTGCTCCAGTGGAGGCTGCTGCTCCTTGGGGGTGGGAGGCGGCCCAGGGTCCTGCAGATGCTGCTGCTCCTGCGGGAGGGGGGGCGTGGCCTGTGAAGAGCTTGCTACGCTCACTTACCCATTTTTTGTATAGGGTTTCCTTTAGGATAATCCATCCACTTTCCCTATAATGTAGTCTCTTCTGAATGGCTCCCTCTTTATGGTGACTTGGGCAGACACATCACAGGTGCTGCCTATCCACAGAACCCCCTCAATCCCTTGTGCAACAAAAATGCTTAATCCATTCCATAGACTATATACAAATACATGTAGTCTGGACCTGTTACCTTTGGCTCCAACACACACCAGGCCAGAGAACTTCTCATGCTGAATCTCATGAGGATTGGAGGCAGAAAGAAAGTACTTTTTGGCTGGGGGAATACAGATATGTTGAAACAAGCTATGAGGAATCTAATAGAGACTCCAGGTTTTTCTGCACAAATTTTCTTTCTGATAGTATATTTTGAAATCTCTGAATTTAGAAAATTTGTATTTCCTCACTATTACTTTGCTCAAGATGTATTTCATATTTATTTTCATCTAACCAAATATTTGTTCATGTATTTGTCATGGTATCTGAATACATTAGTAATGTGACAGCTCACTAGTCCAGAGCCATGAATCTAAATTTTCATTTTTTTATTACATCAGTTTAAGTTTTCCTCCTTTGTTTTCCTTCCATTTTCCTGTTTTCTGTAAAGAATACTATATATGAACACTTAGCGGAAGAAATCTCAAACTGTCATGTACAGAGCAAAAATATACCAGGGAATATAGAGGTTGGGTCTAGCCTTAGTACACTCAGTTCTGATTTCATTACCTTCCAAAACTGCTTTCTAATATTAGTATCCAGATGACTACCCTTACTTGAACTTGTGTGTCATTTTTCCTCATGCTGTATACAGTGTAAGTACTTATGTATACACTATGGTACACTTAAGAATGATTAATTTCATACTTTCATCAAAATCATGTAAGACCAACTTCAAATGCGTGGTATCTGCTAGCACTATACACTGATAAATATATAGTATATGCCATTAGCTGGTGCTGTTTTTGCGTCATCTCACTTGTTAATGATGATGTTAGTTTGAGTTAGATACCTCCACAGCTTTTTACATTTTATATGTAAGAATCTGATATTTCATCTTTCACATTCAAGTCTGCTTAAGTATAAAGAATTTGAGTTACTTTCCATATTTTTATTAGAAAAAATAAAAATGTTTAAAAACTATGTGGGATTGGGCTATAAAATACTTTTTCAACCATTATCTTTTAAAAACATTCCGGAGTTATGCTGATAATTACCTACCTCATCTTATGTCTGCCATTAGTGTATGGAATTGTTCAGATTTAATTTTCACAAAAATTAGACGCACGGACAGGAAAAAGCAAAAGGACTCAATCTAATGTAGGCTGAAAAGTCAACACCCCTTTAAAATTGCTACATCTTGTTGAGAATATTCTCTGGAGTCAAAATGTCCCTCTCCTAAAAGGAGACCAAACTATTAAGATATAAAGATAAGTTTAAAAGCAAACAAACCCTACTATTTACATAGGATGTATCCTGAGGAGTGAAAGTAAGTTTACAGTCTTGAGCTCTCTCTGCTCCTTCTGCAGCAACATTAACATTCACATACACCTCTACCTCGATATAACGCGACCCCGATATAACACTAATTTGGATATAACGCGGTAAAGCAGCGCTCCGGGGGAGTGGGGCTGCGCACTCTGACAGATCAAAGCAAGTTCGATATAATGCGGTTTCACCTATAACGCGGTAAGATTTTTTTGGCTCCCGAGGACAGCGTTATATCTGGGTAGAGGTGTACCCTATTCTCAGAACTATTCAGGTATCTTTTGTGCCAATTCAGTAGACAAAAACCTATTTACTAGAGCTAGTCAAGAAAAATTTCATGAATATTTTTTGTCTGAATTTCTGACTACCTGTATTGAAATTGGAGCATTCCACAGGACAATGTCGATTTTGATGAAATTCCACTGAAAACTAGGTAGGTTTCTGATGAAACTCTGTGAGCAAAACAAGTTTCAAAACTTGCCTTGTTTCCTACCAACTTGCTTGCTCAGCAGCCTGGCTGGCTGGCAGAGAACCTGAGTCTCAGCACCGGGGGTTCCAGGGCAACCTGCAGGAGGCAGGACTTTTATAGATCTGGGCAGAAAATAGTAATTCTATTTCCCTAAATATTGGAAATTTTGGGGGATTTTCACAAATCGGAACAAAACACAATTTAGAAATCTTGAAATCCTCTGTGAAACAGAATGATCATTCTCTGCCTAGCTGTGTTTACTTTCAGTATATCTGTTCAAGCAAGGTTTGTGGACCAAATAGAAAAGAAATACCTGCTAAGTTGCTAAGAGGAGGATTGCAAGTATGAGAATGTAGGAGCTTGGGGGTTTTAAAGGAAAACATTATCCTTTGAAATAAAAGCACGTTTTTAATAATAATGTTCATTTGTAGAATTGCGTTTGTTTAGTGCAAGGTAAAGTAAACTATCAAAGTCTGTTCTCAAATAAATTTTATTTCTTTAGCTTTTGTTCTTTTCAATTTTTTCAAATCCATAGTGTTTTATTTCTAACCTCCAAGCTAATATATACCATATTTGACATAGTTTTATTTTCAAGGACCTCTTTCAGACCTAATTTTTTCTGTTCTTTCCTTTATTCCCCTCTTTTACTGAATATAGTAACACATTGATAAACTGAACAATTTTGTGCTATGTCAAGTTTCGTAAGCTACTGTGAGAACATACTCCTCTTTAATATGCATATTTGTATGAAGGATTTTTGTTTGATGCAAAAATTAACCCATCAAAACTTGCATTGAAGATACATTTTGAAAAGATACGGGAGCAGTAAATATTGACAGGTAACTTAATGTTTTGTAGACAACTTAATGTTGCTTAGGACAGTTTGTAACTATTTTTAAATAAAAATGGTTACATCTAAAATGTCATGCTGTTCTTAATTTTGATTCTTGTCTAATATAATAATACCAGCTCTTATCAGGCTCTTCATCAGTAGAGTTCAAGGTGCTTTACAAAGAAGGGCCAGTGTCATTATCCCTTTTTTACAGATAGGGAAATGTAGGCATGAAGAGGTGAAATGACTTGCCCAAGGTCACCCAGCAGGCTAGTAACAGTGCCAGGAATAGAATCCAGTTATTCTGAGTCCCAGTCTAGTGCTGTACTGGGTTACACTGCATCTAAGTGTATCATTATTAATTCTTCTCTCCTACAATGGTTTTGTTCTCATTCCCATTACTTGATTCTTGCATACTGATTGTTTCCTGTTAATGGCTATGAAAAATAAAATCTGAAAATTGATAGATCACTGTCTTATTATCATTCCTGTTACATTTTGTAGGGAGGTTCTCTTTTATAGAGTCTAAATGTGTTTATAAAAAAATTCATTTCATACTCACTGAGCATATTTGGGGTTATAACGTATGTTATAATGTGGGTGGTTAAAATTAGGTTTACTTGCCTGAAAGATAACCTACAAAATCATCCAGAAGAGACTTACAACAGTCTGATCGTGTGAATTGGACTATGTGTAGAACCTGCAGTCTACCAACTACAAAATGTAATACAATAAATGTATTGGCATTTATTATATAAAAAAAATCTTTTTACAAGTTATATCTATAGTTTAATATTAAAGTGTTCTAAAGTCATGGAAATGTGTACTGTGTTTTGTTTACCCCTAAATGAACATCCAAAGATCTTGTAAAATTTAAGACTGTTAATACTTACCTCTAAAATGCATGTAGTCTGAGCCTGGTAAAGTGCATAACTTTCTTCTCCTTTAGAATGAAGTCACCCTGCTGAGAAATGAAGTGGCACAGCTGAAACAGCTTCTTCTGGCTCATAAAGATTGCCCTGTAACTGCCATGCAGAAGAAATCTGGCTATCAGAGTGAGTAATGTTCCATTACCTATAGCCTTAGGCTGCATCAGTGAAATACAGCCAAAGTGAACTGAGCAACCATTAAAAATGAGAAGTGCAGTTATAATATTTAACAATAAATATATAAAATTCTGCAAGCTTATTAAAAGACAGGAATGAATGTATGATATTTTGAAGCTATTTTTCTAAATGTTTTCAGTTTAAAAAATGTTGTAGATTATCTGAAGTTTAAAGACATTATAGAAAAAAACAACCAAAATTAAGTGTATACCCATAATTACTACTAAAGGACTGTAAGCTGCAATACCTGCTTCTAGTATATACAGTTAAAGTATTGACAGTACATGGTGAACAATCTCTGTAATGCATTATCTTAAATAAGATGAAAGGTCCTTGTTTCTTCCATTTCATAATGAGATTTCCATGGAGGGGAGGGTAACAGCTGTCCTTATTTACTAGCACATCCAGGATCAGTCAGCCCATTAAAATAATCAGATGCAGGTTCCTGGCTCTTACTGTATGCTGTCCCTGAGATTGTTTTGACTTAAAATAACTGTTTGTCATAAGAATTTAAAATGTTTGAATTTTTAAAATAGGATTCTAATAGTGAAGGACTTAGAATTCTCAAGTTAAACTGAAATCAGTAAAACTGTTAAATTTTAAGGAAATGAAATTTGTTCACTTAATTTTTCACTTTTTAGGCATTTTAAAGGTTAATTGTGCTTTTCTTACTTCTAACTTCTTTTTTTGGATATGATGCACAGAGCTAGAACCAGCTGCTGCTGTAGAATAAATGGCCAATTTTGTCCATTGTACACAAATTCGTAACAAATAACTGAGCGGGGAATGCATTAGGCAACATTCATAATATATAACCCACAGCTTTCGTTTTTATGATTTAGTGATATTTCAGGATATTTGTAAATGTGAAGATTGTTTCTGCCATATGTAGCCACTTCATTTTAATTTGCCAGTGTCAGTAATTCGAGAGAATAAAGGAACATTTTGTATTGCATGCAAACAGTTCCTCAGGTGCTTGCGATAAAACTTAATGGCCACCATCTTTACTTGTAGTCATTGTAAGCAGTTTCATCAGAATGGGCAATATTTTTTAATTTAAAAGATTCAGGAGATTTTAGCAACTCTCTGTTGCCATATATATATTTAGAACACTGATTTTGTCAGTTTTGAGCTTATAAATCTTAGTCCTTTGATCTCCAGTCATTTTGACAGGATGGAAAATAGCATCTTGGAGTAAATTGGAACCATATAGAAATATGTTCGGGATTTATATTAACAATGATTGCTGCAGGGATGAGGCCATTATGGCTCCCATCTGACAGAACAACATAATTTCATATAGAAGCTACTAGGGGATACCATTATGCATGCATGGTTTTCCTAAACAAGCTAGGTTTCTTGAATTTTGATAGCTTGAAGATACATGTGTTTCTCTAGATTTGCATGAACAATTATTAAACGTATGCATTTTTGAAATAGACTGGCAGATAATTACAAATTAAGGATTTTTTCATTAAAATACTAAAAACTAAATGTTTAGTAATATTGTTGAAAAAATGCTATAGTATTTATAAATCGCTGCAGATTTTGAAGTTCTTAGGTTTGTCTTCATTATAAAAGTCAAAGTAAAACTAACTCACTACTAATCAGAACAGAGAATGTAAAGTTGCTAAAATATCTATCATTTGAAAAAAGGAACTACATTTTAAAAGAAGTATCAAAAGATGTTCAGAAGGGAACGTGCAGGCATAGTTCACTTAATATTTTTGTAAAGCCTTTGGCATAGTGCCACACAAAATAATGATCTACAGGATTAGTGTCATGAGTAATATGGCATGCATGGGGATGAGCTAGGTATGTAAGTGGATAAAGAATGCGCATAAACACTGAACTCTTGTCTCACTGTGTATAAGTGTTATGTCCAAAGCACTTCACAGTAGCTCTGAGAGAATTAAATAATATCTTAATTTTACAGATATTGGGGCAACACACACATAGATAAAGTGACTTGTGCAAGACTATATGATGAATCATAGCAAGAATCAATTAAAATGGTTTTAGTTAATGTTTGTGGTTGTGGCGTGAATAAAAAATAACTTCAAATCTTTAAAAAACAAATTTAAAAAGATATGCCCTATCTACATCAGCAGCATGACCATGTTACTTTTTAAAAAGTGTTAAATAGTTTCTTATCATGTGTGGTATAGAAGAGGCAAAGAGGCAGAATTAGAATGCTCCTGCAGTGCAAGGTATCATGTGCTGCTGAGACACAGTTAATTTATACCCTGCGGACATGGCTTTAACAATTCGATACACAATTTAATGGGATTTCACTTAAAATGCACTTCAACAGGCACAAGCAAACAATGGCATTGCAGAATTTTTTGACACTTATTTAGGTATCTTTAAAAGATCTTTTGAACAACTTCTGCTTCACATAGAGTGAAAAGCACAAGTACTAAGGTCCCTCTTTCTTGCTAGCATTTTCAGTTACTTTAGGTACCTTTCACCTGCTTCCAAGAGGTGGTGATGACTGAGAAACCAGAAAAGACAAAAAGAGAAGTGATTACATTTCATGAGGCTGTTTGGAGGAAACCTTGCAATGCAAGAGTTGTCAGCCAAGTATAAATTTATGTCCTTCCCAAGCAGATATGCTACTGGTCAGTTGTTTGGGAAATTTCTTGAACAAGCCCTTAAGGACTTAAACAAAATTTTTAAATTGTATGTGTAATCTACAAGAGAAACCTAAACCCTACGTTTTCTATCCATAGTCCCATCTGAGACACAGTTTCAGGAATACGCTGCTGCAAAGCCTATATAGTGTCTCTCATATAAGCCTATATAGTCTCCTCTTAGTGTGGAGGATGGGGAGAAATGAGGGAGGATGAATAGTCGTGAAGGGGCAGAGGGTAGTTGGAGAGTTGTAGGTGTGAGAATATTACTTCTGTTTATTTGCAAAGATTCAGGAAGCTTCCCGAACACTAGATGATTCCATTTGAGTAAAGCTTAATAAAAATAGGGGCTATAATCCATTAACGATTGAATCAAAAATTTTTGATTCCTGCTCTAGTTAATTGTAAAGAAACAATTGGGGTCTAGCCATTATAATAATTATGTCAATCCTTTGCCTACAAATTGTTCAGGATAAGTCAACCCCTTCAGTGATTTAGCCACCACTCTAGAGAATTTTCTGGCTACCGTAGACTTGTCTAGATGTTGACCTAAACATTCCCATAGTCCCCATGCGCCAGCAGTATCTGGTTTTATCTCTGGAGACTTCATCTTCAGTATTGTCTGAAGTAACTGTCCGTTCTGTACATATGCACCAACTTTATACAAGCTGTCACAACTGTATGAATAATTGACTTTTTCGGTTTGCGGGCATTTCCAGAAGAGAAAAAAGAACAGCAAATGAAAAATTGGGGGGGGGAAATTGGAAAGAGTGAAATGTTTCATTTGACCCAAACATGTCATTTCACTTTTGAGCTTTATCTTGTTAAAATAAAATTGAAGGAAATCTAATACAAAGTCATTTCAAATAGAAAAATCCCAATTTTCATTTAGAAAATATGAAAATGTTGCTTTATTTTTTCAGGGTTGTGTTTGTTTGGGGTTTTTTTAATAGAATTTTTCAACTAAAACAATATAGCAAAATTCACACATTCCCTAAATATTTTGACTGACCCAAATTTCCAGTTTTGGTCAATAAACTTCAACCAGCTCTAGTCATACCACACCTTTGGAAGAAAATGTTTGCAATTTTTTCCCATTTGGATGACTGACTAGTGCAGAGGTGGGCAAACTACAGCCCTTGGGCCACATCCGGCAACGGGACTGTCCTCCCCGGCCCCTGAGCTCCTGGCCGGACAGCTAGCCCCCAGACCCTCCCCTGCTGTCCCCCCTCCCCTGCAGCCACACCGCCACACAGGCAGCACTCTGGGCGGCAGAGCTGCATGCTCATGCAGGGCAGCGTGGCAGTGTGTGTGGCTCCAGCCGGGAGGCGCAGCTCCAGACATGCTGCTCTGAGCGGCATGCTAAGGGAGCTGAGGCCTTGGATATGGGGAAAGGGGTCCTGGGGGGTAGTCAGGGGACAGGGATCAGGAGGCTGTTGGATGGGGCAGGGGTTCGGGGATGGGGAACAGGGGGGATTGGATAGGGGTTGGGGTCCCGGGTAGGCCCCATCATGGGTCAGTAACTGATTAAAAGATAGGGAGAAAGGGTTAGAAATGAACAGTCAGCTTTCTCGATGGAGAAAGGTTAATAGTGGTGTCCCCCATGGATCTGTACTGGGACCTGTGCTGTTCAACATTTTCATAAATGATCTGGAAAAAGGGGTGAACATGAGGTGGCAACATTTGCAAATAATACAAATAATAATACAACTCCAAAGCTGACTATGAAGAGTTAGAAGGATCTCACTAAACTGGGTGACTGGGCGAGAAAATGGCAGATTAAATTCAAAGTAATGCACTTTGGAAAAAATAATCCCAATTGTACATTCAAATTGATGGGGTCTACACAAGCTTTAATTACTCAAGAAAGCTATCTAGGAGTCATCGTGGATAGTTTCCTGAAAACATCTGTACAGTGGCAATAAAAACAAACCAAAAAACCCCCAAAACTAACAATGTTAGGAACTATTAGCAAAGTGATGATAAAACAGAAAATATTATAATGCCACTTTAAAAATCCATGGTATGCCCACACCTTGAATTACTGCATGCAGTTCCATTTGGCCCATCTCAAAAAGATGTATTAGAATTTGAAAAGATGCAGAGAAGGACAACAACAATTATTAGGGGTACATGGTACAGCTTCCATGCAAGAAAAAATTAAGAAGACTAGGGCTGCTCATCCTAGAAAAGAGACGACTACCGGGGGATATGACAGAGGTCTAAAAAATCATGAGTGATATGGAGAACGTGAATAGGGAAGTATTATTTAGCTGTACACATAACACAAGAACTATGGGTCATATAGGCAACAGGTTTAAAACAAAAGGAAGTACTTCTGCACACAATGTACAATCAATCTCTGAAACTCATTGCCAGGTGATGTTGTGAAGGCCAAAAGGATAACAAGGTTAAAAATTAGCTAAATTCATTGAGGATTGGTCCATCAATGGCTATAAACCAGGCCCATTCTCTGAGTGTCTCTAAACCTCCACCTCCCAGAAGCTGGGACTGGACGACAGAGATGGGTCACTCAAAATTGCCCTGTTCTGTTCATTCCCTCTGAAGCATTTGGCACTGGCTGATGTCAGAGACAAGATATTGGGCTAGATAGACCATTGGTGAGCCCAGTATGGCCATTCTTATGCTGTTATACTAGTTAACATTTCTTTGGAATACATTTGCAAGGCTGCTTACTTGCATGTTTGTATGACTTTGCTTCTATTCAAACAATACTATGTAAAGAGTTACTTTCTGTCTCTGAACTTAATCCCTTCTTAGTATGGATAAAGGACTGCAATAAAGATCTCATTATGTTGTGGAATTAACTTGCTCATCAGTGAATTTTCATTCTTGCAACTGGTATTCCTGCACTGAAAAAACCTCAGCCCACAATAATTAACCTTCAATGTATTTTTGTTATCCGTGCTCAGTGTTCATTCTTAGTTGTTATTATAAACTTTGGTGTATCCTTCCTTGGACACTTTTTGTGTCTTTGTCATCCTTTTTAGTTTTGGATTCAGTTTTTTCTATGCATACCCTATTCAGTAAAAATCTTTATTTTGATTGCACCATTTTAGAATGGAGCTCTTTTCCTCCTTAACTTCTAGCCAGGTAACTGTCTCCATTTTAGTTAAGTGCAAAAGTAAATGCTTTGGGAGTTGCCATGGAAGACTCAAGCAACATTCTAGGAAGCTTAGGATGGTACCAAAAAATCTTGCAGTTAAATTTATCATTCACACCTTCCATTTTTATATGAGCAAAAACCTGTTGTGAACGGAGATTATTTTATCTGAAAGATACCACTTACAGGTAAAAATTTGACTTACACAATTTCTTATCACTTGATAATGTCTGTTCAACAATCTGACTAATCAAAAATAGAGAAGAGATTTAATTAAAATACTAATTAATTTACCAATTATCACCTGTAAAAATAAAATAAGTTTCATGTCTAAACAATGTTCTCATCTAAATATATATGTTTATTGGATAATCTATTAAGTGGATTTCACTTCTCATATTGGCTTCCTTTTCTCCTAAAATGCCTTGTATATATGAACTTTCTCTGCTTTAAATGAAAGGTGTGTGTTGTAAAATATAACTGATGCATTTAGTGAAAGAATAATTCCTGTTAAATCGTGCCTCTGTATTAAAAAAAAAACACACACACATTAAATTTGCACAGCAAGAAGTTTTGTTTTTTCAATACTTAGGTTTTGTGATCATAAAAAATTATGAGTAATTCATTTGAGTACTTCATTGATTCAGAGCAAGTCAAACAGAAGAAGTTCTTGGATGTCTTCTGATTTTTAAAGACTTTTATGTCATGCATTAATTAACTCTTACTGGCAGATATTTAAGTGCTAAACAAAACTAATTGAATTTCACCCGGTTGAAAGAATGAAGATTTTGCATATTGAAAACTTTATTGTCCAACTGAGCAATAGTAATTTACTGTATTACAGAGAGTGATTTTCATAAACATTATTAATTATCAAACTGAGAATGATTCTCTGGCTGAATTACTAGTCAAATGCAATATCTTGTGGTTTTTAAAAAATCTGAATCTAATTAATTTACATAACTATAGAACAGCTGGTGGCATTTAGACTATAAACTATAGACTATTGTTATTCTCATGTGCGTGCATCATTAGACTCAGGTGTTGTAGTCCTCAGTCGCTGCACTAGATGGAAAATCAACCAAAATTAACTGTGGTTTTAAATGGGAATAATCATTTGAAAATGTACCTGTGTCCATAAATATTCTAACATTCTATCCTGGTTTTTGTTTATAGAAAAATACAAACAAGTTACCTGTTCATCTTTATATATAAAGCAATTCTATTAAAAATAAATGTTTGACAAATGTCTTTTTCTATGTGCTATTAATTGTGATTATTTATAGGACTCTTATTGTTATCTGAAAATTTTTTATGCATATTTTAGAAAAAAAAAAGCAAGTGAATTTTTTTCTTTAGCTGCAGATAAAGATGACAGTTCTGAAGACATTTCAGTGCCAAATAGTCCACATACAGAAGCTATTCAGCATAGTTCTGTCAGCACTTCCAATGGAGTAAGTTCAACCTCCAAGGCAGAAGCCGTAGCCACGTCAGTTCTCACCCAGATGGCGGACCAGAGTACAGAGCCAGTGCTTTCACAGATTGTTATGGCTCCACCTTCCCAGTCACAGCCTTCAGGAAGTTGATTAAAAACTTGCATTGCAACAGTTTCTTAGATATACATTTGTGACTTTAAAGGGAAATCAAGACCAGTCTCCATCTAAAAAGATATGTAGCTTAAAATTATTCATTTTTAAAATTAAATTTAAATTTGGCTTTAAAGATTGTCAGATGGGCAGATGAAGAGGAGACTGAACAGCAGTTTCTAGTCTCCTTGAAGAAGATGGATTTTTTTTAAAGTTGATTTACTAGTTATTTTCTGTGCTCAATGTGTAAAGTGTGTGTAAAGTACAATGTGGTTTTTTTCACTTTTAATTTGGTATTATTTCAATCAACATTGGGGTGAATTATTAACGTGCATCCCCAAGATTGTGATAGTAATATTATGTGACATTTTATACCAAAGTTCTGCATAGTCCCTATTGACTTTGTAATTGTTAGCAAGGTCATAAAGCACTAGGCAAGAGAAAAAGACAGTAACAGTACATTTGCTTTTAGTCTTTTTGCCTTTTTATTGTTTTGCACATTATGAGAGAAAGAACATTGGGAGAAAATGTTTGCTTTATATCATGTGTAGCATTTTGTTTGGCTTATTAGCTGTTTTGGTTGGTTGTTTTTTAAATTGTTTAACAGGGCCAGTATGGTGTAGGGACATACAGTACCTTTATGCACATACCTAAACTAGATGAGGGTCATTCCTAACTAGACTTTCTTTAAAAACTAATGCCAATTTTTTCAACACTTTAATTTTAAAAGGGGAGCTTTATTTCTGCTGTCAAAACAATGGTCTGCAAATACCCTTTGTGGCTAGGCTAGTACAAAACAGTAAAAAGATATCGTACAATACAGGGTTATCAAATATGGAATAATTTTCATAGCTAGCTTGATACTTTGTGGATTTTTGAATCACAGACTAAGGAGTTTACTCATACACAAGTATGGATGCCAGAAAAGCCTAAAAAACCTTTGTTAAACAACACTTTTTCCCTTCTTCTTTGTCATTGTCTTGTATTTGCAAGCTAACTTGTACTTAATTCTTGTGTAAGCACTGTCATCTTTTAGTAGCAAAATTTTGATACCTTCCTTGTGGAAAAATCAGTATCTACCATATCTTGGAAACAATGTAATTATAATGTGGCGTGTATGTGTGTGTATGTGTGTGAGAATGGTTCAGTAGTTTATGCCAGCAATCTTTGCTTGAATGTTTAAAGATGCCTTCAATGTGATGCTGGCTGATAGATTGCAGTTTAAAAATGTTATTTACTGTGCGAACTTGGATAACTAACATTCCATGATGTACGTTTGTTTCTGATGAGATGATTGTAGGTACACTTTTTCTCATTATCCAATCATCTGTAGGATATTGAGTTTTTTAAATGTGCCATTACCTATTTGGATTCCGTACTCATGTTCAAAATACAGTACAATATTTTACAATAGATTACGTTGGGGGAAAAAGTAGATGTGTGCTTTCAGGTCAGAAAACTTTGTACAATAGCTAAAGAGTAGCAAATTTTGGCAGTCAGTCAGGATTTCATTATGTATATAACAAAGATTTAATGCATTTATAATGGGTTGTGTAGTTCATTTTCTCTTCCTTCTCCATGCTACACTGTTTTAAATCTCCGTGCTATCAAATTCCTTATGAGATTCATTTTTAAATCTATGAAATGTAATTGGTAATACAGAGGAAGAACATAATTTGTATAATATACAACCATACTATAATCAAAACTGGACAAAGACATATCTGAATTGTGTGTATATCATTTCAGTGCTGTAAGTGTGAAAATAATAGGAATTCTAAATATTTTGTATTTTAAAAACAAGGAAGTAATTTTTGAGTTGATAAACCCATATGTTTAAATACTTTTACCAGTTTCATGGGGGGAAAAGTTAGTTACTGAAAAATTCCACAATGGTAAAATATACAATAAGTCTTGTGAGAAAGGAATTTATCTCAAAGGCACAAAATGTGAATTATGCAGGAAAGCTATACAGTTACTACTTTTCATTGTAATTTTGGTGAACTAGGTAAAACCTCATTGGTTACATTTTCATTCTCTCTCCTAAACACTAGGCATTTTTTATCTTATTTATGCAAGTGAATTTTTTTAATAAAACTGTTGTGCCTGTAAAATAAGTCTACATAAGTGTGAGGAGACATGTAAGCATTTAACGAATGGGGTTGGGAAAAGAACCATAATAAACATGTCTGTGTTCATCAAATAGAGAAAACAGTTATTAGTTGTACAACCATGAATTCCGTTTTGAGACATATGTCGCACTACTTCTGTACTTATCATTTCGACTCTTTACATTTGAACATGTTTCACAAACTGTACTGTTTTCTTTATGTGCAGTTTGCATGAGTAAATCATCAGAGAATAATCTTTAAATTATGCTCCTATTTTAATGAAATTACAACTGTTCTAAAAAGGTAGTGGTGTACTCAGACTTCTTTCTGGTTGTTAGCATTTATGTGGAATTCATTACCTGAATGTCAATGTAACATTAGATAAATGTAGAAGAACATCCCTGTCTTCTAGAGAAGGAGTCAAATTCCATTCCTCTACCCTTGGATTCAAACCACTTTGTTTAGAGGAATTATTCTTAAATCATTAGTTCCAGGAGCAGAAGATGGGCATCAGAAAGGAGTCCAAGATGGCCCATAGGTCACTGATGTGATTCAACCTGATTTCTGTTGGCAGTGAGTTGCAGAGCAGAGTTTAATGTTTTTTTATTTTTCTTCTTTTGTGTCTCAGCTAATAATATGTAAAGTTACAAAAGTAAAATAAATCTACAACTAATTCTTATAATCCCTTAATAAACACAGTAGCTATGTAGAAAATAGAGGTGGGCAAATACTACAAAAATTATGGGCATTCAATCAAACTTAAAAATAAAATGTTCCTCTTTTGTTTGCTTTTTCAGAACATTTGGGTTGGTTAACTTTTATTCTCATAAATGTTTGTGGAAAGCATATTACAAGTTTACATGCTCACCCTGAAAGTGGTGCATTCTGTATGGGTCACACCTTAAAGTATAGAGATATGATTCCCAAAATCTCTCCACAGAGCTCTGATACAGAGGCAGTAAAACAAGACCGACAAGAACCTGACTGCATGCATCCTTTGCAGCTAGATTTGCACACGCAATTATTTTGTTTAAATGTGATGAGAAAATTCAATTGAAATTCTTCACGTAGTCATTCATTCTTACAGAAGTTTAATATAGGAAAATTGCTTCAAACGAGGCCTTCATGATAAAGAAAGAGAAATGTAACATTTTTCTATTCTTGCTTTTCTCCTGGAGACATTCAGATACCCTTTTGCTTCATCAAACTCCCTTCCTGATTATATGAATTACGTTCACCACCTCAGGAAAGAGAAACAATACCATCACTTTTATGTGACAAATCACGTCACCCCCATTGTTCAGATATTGAGTGTAGGGTCAGACCTAAGTAAATAATTTATTTATTTATTTATTTATTTTGGTTCTGGGGCCAAACTGTGGGGAGGGAAAAAAACAGTTTGGTTTGAACTGAAACTGGATTTGTTTTTTCTTGCAGGAACAAAAAACTTGAAAACATTACCTTCAACCCAAAATCATTTTGTAATTAGCTAAATTGCTTTACAAAATGGATTTTAAAATGTTTCATTTCAAAATGGTTCAAACACAGTTTTAACATTGTGTTAAAATGGCTGAAAGAGTTTAGATATTTTAAAAATTATTTTCCATTTCTTTTTCAGCTGTTGATTTTCAGTAAGTCTTGGTACCCCAAGGAAGCTCTAGAAGACAGGAAGAAAGTTAATGTGCCAATATTTAAAAAGGGTGAGCAGGATGAACCCAGGTAATTATAGGCCTGTCAGCCTGATATCAATCCCATGCAAGATGATGGAGCAGCTGATACAAGACTTGATTGATAAAGAATTAAAAAATGGTAATATAATTAATGCCAGTAAACATGGGTTTATGTCAAACTAACTTGATATATTTTTTTAATGAGATTACAAGTTTGGCTGATAAGGGAATAGTGTTGATGTAATATGCTTAGATTTCTGTAAGGCACTGATGAGAATAATATAAAATTAACATGGCACATGTTAAATAGATTAAAAGTTGGCTAACTGATAGGTTTTGAAATGTAATTGTAAATGGAGAATTATCAAATGGTTGTTTCCAGTGAGGTCCCACAGGGATCAGTTTGTGGTTCTATGCTATTTAACATTGTTTTCTTCCAGACCATTGATAAAGTTTGCATTTAGGGGAGTGGTAAATAATGAAGAGGACAGGTCACCGATACAGAGAGAGATCTGGATCGCTGGATATATGGCTAACTATAAATTATACTTCTAGGAACAAAGAACATAGGCCATACTTACAGGATAGGAGACTATCCTGAGAAGCAGTTAGTCTGAAAAAGATTTGGGGGTCATAATCAATAATGAGCTGAACATTCCCTTCCAGTGCAATGCTGTGTTCAAAGGAGCTAATGCAGTCCCTGGATGGATAAATGTTAATCTCTAGGAGTGGAGAGGTAATTTTGTTTCTGTATTTTGCACTGGTGCAACTGCTGCTGAAATACTGTGTCCAGTTTTGTGTCCACAATTCCAGAAGGGTGTGGATCAATTGGAGAGGGTTCAGAGAAGAGCCACAAGAATGATTAAAGGATTAGAAAACCTGCCTTACAGTGATAGAATCAGAGAGTTCAATCTATTCAGTTTAACAGAGAGAAGATAAAGGAAGTACTTGAGTACAGTCTATAAGTACTTACATGGGGAACCAATATTTAATAATGGTCTCTTAAATCTAGCAGAGAAAGGTATAACACAATCCAATGGCTGGAAGTTGAAGCTAGAAAAATTCAGACTGGAAATATGGTGTAAATTTTTAACTGAAAATAATTAACCATTGGAACAGTTTACCAAGGGTCATGGTGAATTCACTATCACTAGCATTTTTGAATCAAGATGGGATATTTTCTAAAAGATATACTGTTGGAATTACATTGGGGAAATTCTTTGGGCTGTATTACACAGGAGACTAGATGATCACAATGGTCCCTTCTAGCCTTGGAGTCTATAAATCTGTTAAGCTGTTTGCTGAATTTGATCTGAGTTTGTGAATAGTTTCCCCCAATTTATTGGCAAATTTACTATTTGCCCCCAAAAAATTGCCAGTCAGAGGCTGTCTTCACTTCACCAAAATAACTGTCTCTGGTTAGTTACAGCAATGAGCAGTCAAATGGAGCTTTTTCTGCAGCCTGTATACCTGGAGTCTGATTTGACGTGTCAGCTTTTTGAAGCCTATATATGCTGCAAGATACTCCGCATCACAATGCAAACCAAAAAGTTTATGAAAGTATAAGCTTTATATCTCCCTAGAACAAACTTGTCACATATGGATTACGTACTGCATTTTTAGATTTAATTAAAATATGTTCTGGAATTACTTTGCAAATACATCACACTATTACAGAATTTTCAGTGTGGCATGAAATTTAGCAGTGATGCAGAAATCCAGGAGCCCTTGCAACTGAATTTGGCTTGTGTGCACCACACAGGGCCCTGCCTCCAAGTTATAAAAAAATAAAGCATGACTGTGCTTTTGAGAGGCTTGTTAATCTCCCAAGTGTACGGCTAATATAGGTCGATCACTTAATAGAATTACAGTTTATATATTAACGACTTGATAGTTTTTAATTTATTTCATTTGCTGTAAAACATCTCCCCATCATTTTTTGCCATTTTTGTAGTGGCATTCCATATTTTATTTGCTGTACCTGCACATAATTCTTTTCTGTTAACTTTTTTTGGGGAGGAGGTGGGGGTAGGGGAATGAGAGGTCTATACATTCTTCAGTTACTCAATAAAGCGACATAGTTAATTTTTATCTCAGAATGAAGATTTAATCGGAAAAATGCAGTGAAATGAGTATGCAAGAGCAGTCATTGTTATAGCATGCCTAAACAAAGGGCCAGTAATTTAGACAACATACAGGCTGACTGAAAATGGAGTAATAAATACAAAGGATACAGAAAAGCATGAAGCAATGAAAGAAAGTCATGATTCCCAGAATGCCTTCACCAATTGCGAACAGGAGGAAAGTGGCTGCAGGGGGAGAGGCGCAATGGTATTTATAATCTGTAGGGGGTGGCAAGTGGTGGCCTAAAAATGTGGGTGACATTCAGCCTGGCCACTGTTGTCCTTTAGGGTCAATGTTTTTACAGCTTTGGGAGTTCTGTTAGTCTCACCCTGGAAGATGAGCTCCAAGAGGGGGAATCCTGTCAGAAAGAGATCTTCAGGGGAGCAGAATTGCAGGTAAATTTTCCCTTATATGCACGTATGTTGTCAGGAAATGGAGCCCTAAATCTTGTTGAACAAATTTGAATGACAGCATTTAAATCTTAAATTTTACAGAATAAACTGGTCTGTCAATAGTCAAGGAAGGAATTCTTCCACCTGTTTCCAGCAGCTATATTGGCTAGGAGTATAAGAGACATTAAGGTCTGACTCTTTCTGAATTACTAGTATTAGGTCACTACTGGAGACAAAATACTACCCTAGATAAACTGGTCTGATCAATTGAAAATTGAATTGTTTCAAAAAGCAGCTTATTTTTGGCTTCCATGATATTTAAAATAAAATGAAAAATTACAGCTAAATAATGTGTGTGTGTGGTGGGGGGTATATATACGTGTGTGTGTGTGTGTGTGTGTGTATATATATATATGAAATTTAAACAGCAGAAAAAGACGTAAGGTAGATGTAGTTATTACTGATACCATATTAGACAGTCAAATGTAACCTAGGGACAATAATAATGAATTTAAATTTCTTCAGTATATAGTATTTATAATCAAAAGTTATAAAATTGTTTTGATCACACTTCAGGTAAGTATTATAAAATAGCCATGGATACATATTTTGTATTGTGAAGGATATGCTTAAGGAATTTTAAATGCATGTTAGGGCAAGTCAACACTACAAAATTAAGTCAACCTAAGTTATGCAACATACGGCTCCCTCAGTAATTAAATCGCTTTTCCATGTCCACACTACATTCCTTGTGTTCGCGGCGTGTATCCTCACTACCAGCACTTGTATTGATGGAGAGAGCAGTGCCCCGTGGGTGGCTATCCCACAGTGCAACTCATCACCATCTAGTGCAGGGTGTTTTGGGAAGGGCTTGCAGTGCCTCATAGGGACAAATGAGTCATGCAG